ACTTGAGCCACAGTGCCACTTCTGGCTTTTTTCTTTTTGCTTATGTGGTGCTGAGGAATCGAACCCAGGGCCTCAGGCATGCAAGGTAAGCGCTCTACCACTGAGCCACCTTCCCAGCCCCAAAAAGTAAGCTTTTTTTGGGGGGGCGATCCAGTCGTGGGGCCTGAACTCTGGGCCTGGGCGCTGTCCCTCAGCTCTTCAGCTCAAGGATAGCACACTACCACTTGAGCCATAGCACTACTTCCGGCTTGTTTTTTTTCTGCTTATGTGGTGCTGAGGAATCAAACCCAGGGCCTCATGCATGCAAGGCAAGCGCTCTACCACTGAGCCACCTTCCCAGCCCCCCGTCCTGAGGCTTCAATTCAGGACCAGAGTGCTATCTCTGAGGGTTTTTTTGTTGTTGCTCTACAGCTCCACTTCTGGCATTTTAGTGGTCAATTTGAGATAAGAAATAACATAGACTTTCCTGCTTAGGCTGGCTTCAAACTGCAGTCCTCAAATCTTATCATGAGCAGCTAGGAATATAGGCATGAGTCACCAGTACCTGGCTCTGCTTTTTTTTTCCCTTGAGAATGGATCCTACTATTTGACTGTCCCAGAACTCATCATGTAGCCTTGGCTGGCCTCAAACTCTCTATCCTCCTGCCTCAGCTTCTCAAATGCTGAGGTCACAGACATATACCACCACACCCAACTACTTTCCATATTTCTTAATTTTTGTACTTATTTTTATATTGCCTAGTTGATTTTTAGCTAATTCAAAAAAAGACCTTTATTTGTCATTGTGCTCAATTCAAAACATATAGCCTAAGCCAGGCACTGGTGGCTCACTCCTGTAATCCTATTCAGGAGGCTGAGATCTAAGGATCACAATTCCAAGCCAGCCAGGGTAGGAAAGTCTGAAAGACTCTTATCTCTGATTAAGCACCAAAAAGCTAGAATTGGAGCTGTAGCTTAAGTACAGCACTAGGAACTGGGAATGTGGCTTAGTGGTAGAGTTCTTCACTAGCATGCATGAAGCCCTGGGTTTGATTCCTTAGTACCACATACACAGAAAAAGGGTGATATGGGGCTGGGAAGGTAGCTCAGCGGTAGAGTGCATGCCTTGCAAGCATGAAGCCCTGGGGTCGATTCCTCAGCACCACATAAACAGAAAAAGCCAGAAGTGGCGCTGTGGCTCCAGTGGTAGAGCACTAGCCTTGAGCTGAAGAGCTGAGAGACAGCGCCCAGACCCAGAGTTCAGGCCCCAAGACCAGCAAAAAAAAAACAAAAAAAAAAAAGGGTGATATGGCTCAAGTGATAGAATGCTAGCCTTGAGCAAAAGAAGCTCAGGGACAATGCCCAGGCCCTGAGTTCAAGCCCCAAGACTGGTCAAAAAAAAGGGAAGAAGAAATATAGTAGTACAGCACCAGTCTTGAGCAAAAAAAAAGGAAAAAAAAAAAGCTCAGGGACAAAAAGTAGGCCCTGAGTTCAAGCTTCAGGATCAAAACAACAACAAAAACAAGCCAGAGCCTGTAATCCTAGCTACTTAGGAGGCTGAGATCTGAGGATCATGGTTTAAAGCCAGCCTAGGCAGGAAAGTCTGTGAGACTCTTATCTCTAATAAACCACCAGAAAACCAGAAGTGGCACTGTAGCTCAAGTGGTAGAGCACTAGCCTTGAGCTGAAGAGCTCAGGGATAGCGCCCAAGCCTAGAGTTCAACCCCCATGACAGACTGGAAAAAAAAAAATCCAGCCTGGGCAGGAAAGTCTGTGAGACTCTTATTTACAATTAACCACCAGAAAACCAGAAGTGGTATTGTGGCTCAAGTGGTAGAGCATTCCCCTTGAGCTGAAAAGCTCAGGGACAGCGCCCAGGCTCAGAATTCAAGCTCCAGGACCACCACCAACAAAACAACAACAAGCCAGGAGACAGTGGCTCACACCTGTAATCCTAGCTACTCAGGAGGCTGAGATCTAAGAAAGAAAACATCTAAATCCTATATCCTTTAGAAGTTTCTCTCAGCCAAAGAAGAAGCTTCAGTGAACAACACAGTATATAAGTTTGCATGAATCTCTGATAAATTGGAGTATGATGTTACTCTGGTTGTTTTTAATCTCAAGAATGTTGTAATATCTCTAAAAGATTCAATTAGGTCATTAGATTGCCCAACAATTTTGACAATTTACATAAGAAAGAAATACAGGGGCTGCATATGCATGAAACCCTAGGCTCAATTCCTCAGTACCACATGAACAGAAAAAGAAACACTGGAAGTGGTGCTGTGCCTCAAGTGGTAGAGTGCTAGCCTTGTGCAAAGAAGCTCACCAAACAGTGCCCAGGCCCTCAGTTCAAGTCTCAGGACTGGCAAAAAAAAGTAAAAAACTAAAAAATTAAAAAACAGGGTTGGGAATGTGGCTTAGTGGTAGAGTGCTTGCCTAGCATGAATAAAGCCCTGAGTTCAATTCCTTAGTACCACATATACAGAAAAAGCCAGAAGTGGCACTGTGGCTTAAGTTGAACAAAAGAAGCTCAGGATCAGTGCCCAAGCCCTGAGTTCAAGCCTCACAACTGGCAAAAAATAAATAAATAAAAGGAAAAATAAAAAAAAGTGTAGTCAAAATAATTTTAAAAATGAGGCTGAGAAGGTGACTCAGGGGTAGAGTGCTTGCCTCCCATGCATGAGGCCCTGGGTTCGATTCCTCAGTACCACATAAACAGAAAAAGCTGGGAGTGGCACTGTGGCTCAAGTGGCAGAGTGTAGCCTTGAGCTGAAGAGCTGAGGGACAGAGCCTAGGCCAGAGTTCAGGCCCCACAACCAACAACAACAACAAAAAGAACATAAAGGAAAAAGTTTCTACCCATTCATAAAGTTCGATGTTGATGCTTAATGAGCTCTGTGGCTCAAATTACAAACTAAATCAGAATCTTCCTTGTAGAAATACTTTCCTATAAAAGTACTACAGAAAAAGCAATGACAGGGACTGGGAATGTGGCTTAGTTGGAGAGTGCTTGTCTAGCATGCATGAAGCCCTGGGTTCAATTCCTCAGTACCACATAACTAGGAAAAAAAAAAAAAAAAAAGCAAGAAGTGGCACTGTAGCTCAAGTGGTAGAGCGCTTGCCTTGAGCACAGAGAGGGTCAAGGACAGTGCCTAGGCCCTGAGTTCAAGCCCCAGAACCAGAGAAAGAAAGAAAGAGAGGGAGGGAGGAAGGGAGGGAGGAAGGGAAGGAGGGAGGGAGGAAGGAAGGGAGGGAGGGAAAGAGGGAGGGAGGGAGAGAAGGAGGGAGGGAGAGAGAAAGCAAAGAAGGAACAAAGAAAAAAAGAGACAAAAAAAGAAAGGAAGGAAGGAAGGAGAGAGAAAAGCAATGACAAAATAGAACAAGTTGAGTATCTTTTACCTGAAATGCTCAGGTCTACTTTTTTTTTTTTGGGGGGGGAAGGGGGGTCCGGTCGTGGGTCCTGAACTCTGGGCCTGGGCGCTGTCCTTCAGCTCTTCAGCTCAAGGCTAGCGCTCTATCTCTTGAGCCACAGGGTCACTTCCAGCTTTTTTCTTTTTGCTTATGTGGTGCTGAGGAATTGAACCCAGGGCCTCATGCATGCAAGGCAAGCGCTCTACCACTGAGCTACCTTCCCAGCCCAGGTCTACATTTTTTTTTTAAGATTTTGGAATACGTGGAATATACATTAATGCGGTATTTTGGTAACAGGAACTAAGTCTAAGCAAAAAAATTGATGCATTTTTCACACATATTTATAATACAGTCTGAGGACTGTTTTGTACAATACTTTTTTAGTATACCTGGGATTTGTTTTATTTGCAGTACTGGGTTTAAACTCAAGACCTTGTATTTTCTAGGCAGGCACTCTACTCCTCTTTTGTACTTATTTTTGAAGTAGTCTCACTTGCTGCCCTGGTATATAATATCTATTTTAGGCTTCCTGTAGGAGCTGGAATGACAGGCATACACCACAAAATACTTGCTGAAAAGGTGTCTTGAAGGTATGCCCATCCTAGCTTCAAATACAATCCTCTTGACCTCAGTCTCCCAAGAAGTCAGGATTACAAGTATGAGTAACTAGTACCTGCCCACCCACCCACCCCTCCCTCCCTTCCTTCCTTCCTTTCTTCCCTCTTTTTGGCAGTACTGGGTATTTAAACTCAGGGTCTCACACTCACTATACAAGCCATCTACCACTTAAGCCATGTCTACATGCCTTTTTTGCTTTAGTTTTTTTCCAGACAGGGTCTTTCCTACCTACACTTAACACACTGCTAGGATTATAGGTGTGCACCACTACACCCAGTTTACATCTACATTTTTTCTTCCATCGTAGGGCCTGAACTCTGGGCCTGGGCGCTGTCCCTCAGCTGTTCAACTCAAGGCTAGTTCTCTACCACTTGAGCCACAGTGCCACTCCAGCTTTTTCTGTTTAAGTGGTGCTGAGTAATCAAACTCAGGCCCTCATGAATGGGAGGCAAGCACACTACCACTGAGCCACCTTACCATCCCTGCATCTACATTTTAACTACAATCCTTCAGATATGGAATTTCCCACTTTAGCATCATATTAGTATTTTAAAAGTTTTAGAATATTTTAGTTTTCAGATCTTCAGATTAGAGATGCTCCACCTAAATTAACAAGGAAAATATAAATCCAAGACATTTCATATCTTACCTCTTTCTTCCTTAACTTCTTCACTAGGCTCTTCTGGAAAAGGCTCCTTTATGATAGATTGATTAGCTCTATCTTCTTGGGTAACTGGTCCAGCTCTATCTTCTTGGGTAACTGGTCCAGGCCTGAGGGCAATTTTCTTCCCTCTTCTTGAAGCAGTAGCCTGTTGTTTTCCTTTACTAATTTGTACATTAAGAGGATTTGAAGACTCCACCGAAGATAGGCTGATTCCTTGAGAGACAGCTGCATCAACAGAATCCAAGACTGGTAAATTTGTGTGCTGGGTAAGCATCATCCTAGGGGTCAAAGATGGATCCTCCACACCAAGCTGATCTCCTGCATCTTGCACAGATTGAACTTCAAAGCCAACTGCACTGTCATGACTTGAACCCCAGGACAATGATCCCAAGTCTCTAACCTGGTCGGATTCTGGTTTAACAGTTGACTCAAGGTCTAAGTCATCTTCTTCCTGATTGCTTTCATGCTGTAGAGACTCTGTCATTGTAGTTCTTCTCTTCTTACAGGGCAACATTTTAAAAGTCCCACTTTTGAGCCATTCTAAAAGGATAAAAGCAAGTGCTTATCATCTTCATAACAGTACTAACATTGTCTCAATTAGCTTTTCATTTCATTCATGTTCAATCTTGCCCATTATTCCTTTGAGGGAAAGATGAGAAAATGGTGAGTGAGTTCAAATCCCAACTCAACTTCTGCACATCTCAATTTCCCAAAACTTGTGTTTCAATCTTAAGAATAATAAGAATAGGGCTGGGAAGGTGACTTAGTGGTAGAGTGCTTGCCTAGTATGTATGAAGCCCTGGGTTTGATCCCTCAGCAACAGAAAAAGCTGGAAGTGGCACTGTGGTTCAAGTGGCAGAGTGCTAGCCTTAGCAAAAAAAAAACTCAGGATAATACAAAGGCCCGAAGTTCAAGCCCCAGGACTGGCACAAAAAAAATAATAATAATTGTTCTTAGCTTACAGAGCTGTTAAAAGAATTCAAGACTAAGTCATTAGTGCTAGTTTCTACTATTACCATCAGAAAGAGAACAGCATAACCCTAAGAGCAGTATATTAACTCAAACTGTCTGAATTTGTTTCCTAAGTCAATTTCTCTCTAACTTTGTGTCCTTACATTAATTACCTAATTTGAACCTGTTTATCTATAAAATGAAATAAAAGCTAGGCATAGTGGCGCTGTGGCTCAGGTGGTAGAGTGCTCGCCTTGAACTGAAGAGCTGAGGGACCACAAAAAAAAAAAAAGGTTCTCTGACTATTGGGTCTGGGAAGGTGGCTCAGTGGTAGAGCACTTGCCTTGCATGCCTGAGGCCCTGGGTTCAATTCCTGAGCACCATATAAGCAAAAAGAAAAAAGCCGGAAGTGGCGCTGTGGCTCAAGTGGTAGAGTGCTATAGCCTTGAGCTGAAGAGCTGAGGGACAACGCCCAGGCCCAGAGTTCAGGTCCCATGACCAGACCCCCCACAAAATAATAAAGCTAGGCATTAACAGTTCACACCTATAATCCTACCTACTCAAGAGGTTGAGATCAGAGAATCTTGGTTCAAAACTAGGCAAGGCAGAAAACTCAAGAGACTTATCTCCAATTAACCAGCCAAAACCAAGAAGTGGAGCTATGGTTCAAGTGGCAGACCACTAGCCTTGAGTGAAAAAGCTGAACAAGAGCCCTGAGTACAAGCCCCAGTACCAGTTTAAAAACATTAAATTAGGCTGGGAAGGTGGCTCAGTGGTAGTGCTTGCTTTGCATGCATGAGCCCTGGGTTCGATTCCTGAGCACCACATAAGCAGAAAAAGCCAGAAGTGGTGCTGTGCCTCAAGTGGTAGAGCAGTAGCCTTGAGCTGAAGAGTTGAGGGACGGCGCCTAGGCCCAGAGTTCAGGCCACACAACTGGCAAAATATAAAGAAAGAAAATAAAAACTAAAAACATTATCACCTACTCATTAGATAATAAATGATCAACAAATGCTTGCTATTGGTGTATTCATAAACAGGTACTGCCATTAATAGAAATAATACAAAAGCAAAATGGAGTTAAAACAGGCTACAATAGCAGAACTGTGTTGAAAAAGAGAGTTCTATTGTTCTTGGTACTATGTTACTTCTGGATTCTTGTCTTCAGTTCTAGTTACCAAATTCTAAGGATATTATATGTCTTAGTGAACCTGTTGGCAAACCTTTTAGAGTCATCACTTTTAGTATCTCATTACTTGTCTGTCTCCATTCTGCAAAACTACATTGAGAAAAAGGAATCCTTCAACTAGTGTCCCTATTACCCAACAGTGTTGAGGTATTGCACATGCTAAGAGATTGTTCCCTGAATAAACAAATGAATTTAAATGGGCTTTAACAACCAACTGTGCAACATTTGGACCAAGCATTAAGCACTACATGGAAATTGATTGTATCTTTCCATCCCGGAAAACTTTACATTCCTAAATAGGTCCAAGAACAAACTAAACTACCTTTTTGTTACAATTAATTCTCCATTACTAGCAATCTTTGAGCAAAGTCTGAATGACCATCCAATTGATAGGAGTACTAGAGAAAATTTGGACTAGAGAACTTAAAAAAAAAAATTAAAAAGCTCTTTCTGGTTCTAAGAGATTGATCTATAAGGTTTTAAACCTCCCTGATTTGGTTACTCTAGAACATTAAAACAAACCCCTCCTCACCCACCAACCAATGTTTTTTGTCTTGGTTAAACTGTGTGGGGGAGGAGGGGAGGGGATGATGGAAGGAGTGAGAGTAATCTAGAAAAGTCCTTTATTTCACAGATGAGTGTCTGAGGCCCACAAAGAGAAAGAAGAAGAGGGGTGGTAGAGGATAAGGGAGGGAGGGAGGGAAGGAAAGAAGGAAGAAAAGGAAGGGAGGGCAGGAGGGAGGAGGGACAGACTGACAGCTGCTATTCAGTTAGCAGTGTGTGGGGAATCGGCTCAAAGTGCTTCCAACACAGCAAGAGTTCAAAAACACCTGATCCCTTGGGAACCAAAGTCAGCCCTACAAGACGAATGAATGCTAAGCTCGAAGGCCGCCCCGCGCGTCCCACTCCTGAGAAAGCATTTCCAAAAGGGCCCCTAGCACCGCTTTCCACGACGGCGGGAACGCTGGCCCAAGTCCGCACTCCCAGTTTAATACCTTCGCGCCTCTAGCTCCAGTTCCGCACCCCGCGCCCACCTTCAGACCCGAGCCCCCTGGTCCCGGACACCCGGGTCCAAGAGCCTCAGGTCCCGCCCGCCTCTTCCCGCCCACCACACAGACCCAGTACCATCACAGGCCGGCCGGATCCCGCGGAAACTCAGCTTCGGCACCACCGGAAGTCAGGCAACGGCAGAGACTGTCGTGCGCGCCCCCGAGTCCAGGAGCGCGGAGACTCAGGGCACCAAGGAGCATGCGCCGAACTCCAAGCGCCATGATAGTTGAGGGCCAATGAAGCCACACCGCAAGTACGTCTGTTATTGGGCGGGGTGAGGGGGGGGGAATTAAAGGGACCAGTTCGCTTTCTCTACCCACGGAGCAATCTTATTAAAAACTGGGAGGTTGGGGCTGGGAATGTGGCTTAGTGGTGGAGTGCTTGTCTCTCATGCAGGAAGCCCTGGGTTCGATTCCTCAGAACCAAATATACAGAAAAAGCCAGACGGGGCTCTGTGGCTTAAGTGGTAGAGTGCTAGCCTTTGAGCTGAAGAGCTGAGGGACCAGGCCGAGATCAAGATCCACGACCCACAAAAAAAAAAATGTGCTGATATTAATTTAGGTGATGTGGTCTCTGTAATGTACCTGTGGCTAAAATTTAATGGGGGATTTTACAAAGTTCCTCTGTCACCAGGGAATCAGGTATCTGTCATCTCAGCCCCGTCAATGCATGGACCCAATGTCCAAGAAGGTGACTTCAAGCCTAGTCAATGTCCAATAACTGTTTTTGAATAAAAATTATTTCCAGGCCCATGTTCTTTCCACTTTTCTACAAGAAAGCTGGAAAAATGCTTTCATTTACAGATGAACCAATGACAAATATTTCTGTATTTGAAGCAACAGTGTTAAGCAGAATCCAGAAAGGAAGTTTCCACACATAAAATGAGGGGAGGAACTGATGTATTTGGCAATAATCACCATTAACCTGACTTTAGCTAAATCACACCAACTCTCCAAAATACAAGAAAGTCTCCAGAAGTTACTGTTTCTCCAGAAATTTTATTTGTGTCCTCCTTTTGATCTTTAGGAACGCATGTTTTGGTTTGCTCCCCCCTCCTTTCCTAAGCACTTGACGCTCGCTAAAGTGGAAAAGTCAACACTAAGTAAAGCACTTTTCAGTGCAAAAAAAAAAAAAAAACTTGATTTAACACACCACAAATTTCAACTTTATGTGTATAATTAAAGATTTTTAGCAAAATTTCAGAGTTGGGCCACCATCTACAGATTTGGTCTTTCTTCAGTTTCTAAAGTTCAAGACATTTTCCATAATTACTATCTATGGTGTCAGAAATGCATAAAAATAACGGCAATCGATACGGAAATCAAGGCAATATAGAATTTTGTTTATCCAAAGTCTTAGAACCCAGAATATTTTCCTGTACTAGCCCAGGGAGCTAAGAATCACAGGATTTATAAGCTGTCATTATTATCTACCTACAAATCTGTTTTCTGAGGTCTCTAGAACTCGCGATTCTCCTGCCTCACATTCCAAATGAGATCACAGACGTTTGCCACCCACTAAAACCGGCTCATACCAAAGCCGCTTTCCTCTGACTTTGGAATTTTTGCCTCTGACTCCCAGCGCGTGAGAGGGCGGGGCCTCGCCCTCGGGAAAACTCGGCAGAGGGAGGAGCTTACTCCCGAAGACCTCTGGGAAGGGGGCGGGGTCTGCCTTTCGGAACCTTTCGGACGGAGGCGGAGTCTTCCTGCCGAGGGTCATTCGGAAAAAGGCGGAGCCTATCTCGCATCAGGACCAGTCTCACTGCACCTGCATCCTTAGCTCAGAGCATCCCTGGAGCATCTTGAGAGGAGAACGCAGCTGACAACCAGGGACCGGACCGTCGCAGGAGACGTCCACCAGATACCTTCCCCCTCCCCTGATCTAGAGCTCTACAGCAGCAGCCTCGGTACTGACTGAGGAATACCAGAGTTATCTGACCATTGCAAAAGCATTTATAGCAACAGCTTCTGATTACGACATGGCTGAGATCACCAACATTCGACCTAGCTTTGGTAAGTAGAGTCGGGCAAAGTAAGCTTGAAGTGGTCGGAACCGTTGCAAAGCCGAAAGGCCCAAGCAATGGGCAGGGAGTGAATCCCAGATAGGATCCTTCAAAGTGCCAGTCCTGATAGAATCAGGCCTGAGGTAATAAGTAAGTGGTCAGTGAACAGCGCCTGAACTTGAGCTGTGGGGATGCAGGAGCTGGCCAGGCCGGAGGGCCACCGAGGGTGGGAATGTCCAGGATGCTAAAACCTTGTACGGTGCACTGTCAGCACTGCTGGAGGTGAAAACAGCCAGCGTGCGGAGGACGTGAACCCCTCCTTCTGTGGAGAGGAGAGGTGGGGTAGGCCGAGCCCTCCCCTTGGGGCACGCAGGGCGGTGCCCCTTCCTCCCCCTCCCACTTCTAAGGGCTGCGGGGGAGGGAGGTGGCAAGTGGGATGGGGCATCAAGATGGCAGCTTGGAGACTGTGTGGCTGGCAGCCAGGGGAGGCGGTGGCCTCTGGGGAGAGAGGGGTGCGGGGGTGGGGAGCAAAAAGGAAGCCACTCCTTAAGCCGGTCAGCTGGATGCTGGAGCTGTGAGGAAGCCCAGCAAGCTCCATTCTGCATCGTAATGGTGGGGTCCTTCTGATGCTACCAAATGGCGCTTGCCGCTGCTAGGCTAGGGGATGACGTGATGTCTATTTCTGGGCCTCCTGGCAGCGCCTAGACTCTCCTTCCGGGGCCTTTGTTCCCTGTTTGCCCGGACTGGCTTTTCAAAAAGGGGGACTCACCCGCCTTGGTGCTAGCGGGGGCTTGATCCAGGCCTGAGAGGGAGGGGCGAAAGAGGCCCAGCCTAGGGGAGGCTGCTTTGTGTACCAAAGAAAGCATTACGTCATCTCAGAGCTGCTGGTCCCCAACCCAGCCAGCCCTGTGGGCTCCAAGATCGCTGTAACACTCCCTTGGTGCAGAAAGTGGAGTGAGAAATAGGTGGGAAAGTGGGGGAAACAAGCTTGAGAAGCAAGTCCTTTTCCCCCCCTTTCTTAGGAATTCTTCCAGAATTTATTGGAAAGAAAACTTCTTATGCTTGCTCACTAGTTACATAAATAAATAAAATCAATCTACCCTCCTTCTTCCTCTTCTATACTATGTGAGAGTTGCTGCTGCCAGCCTAAATCTGTCATGTGCTTTAAGAAATTCTGTCCTTCAGACAATCCAGAAGGTTTTGTGCATCAGATTCCATAGACTGGGAACACAAGCCAGCTAGAAAATGGCTTTTCCCAATGGCTAGTAAAACACATATAGCAATCTGCACAACCCAGTGAGCTCTAGTCTCTCATTATAAGGAAGACCTCACAGGAGTAAAATATTCAGACAGTAAGTCTTCACACCCATTAAATACTTATTCCTATTTATTCCCCAAGGGTCAATCATATTTCTTTCTTCTACTTTACTTTCTGCATCTTTTTTTTTTTCAGTCATGGGGCTTGAACTCTATGCCTGGATACTATCCCTGAGCTCTTCAGCTCAAGGCTAGTGCTCTACCACTTGAACCACAGTGCCACTTCTGGACTTTTCTGTTTATGTGGTGCTGAGAAATCAAATACAGGGTCTCATGCATGTGAGGCAAGCATTCTACTGCTGAGCCACCTTCCCAGCCCCATCTGCACCCTTACCTTTTGAGTCCTAAGTTTTCCAAGTTTAAGTTCCTTTTTTAATCATATATGCAACCTATTTTTTCTTTCTGCTCTTTCATTTTCTTCTTATGTCCTCTTCTCCACAGATACCTTTTTCTAATTACAATTCCAGGGTCCTTGGAAAAATAGATGATATAGAACATAATGGAGAATACTAGTAGAAAGGAAAAAAGGATATATATATAATCCCTTTTATGTACTGTATTTTATTTAATCTTAACAAAAATATAGTCACAAGATGAGGAAATAAAAAAAAAAGATCAGGAAATGACTGAGAATGTGGCTTAGTGGTAGAGTGCTTGCCTAGCATGCATGAAGCCCCAGGTTCCATTCCTCAGTACCACATAAACAGAAAAAGCCTGAAGTGGCTCTGTGGTTCAGGTTGTAGAGTGCTCGAGCAAAAGAAGCTTAGAAACAGTGGCCAGGCCCCGAGTTCAAGCTCCAGGACTGGCAAAAAAGAAAAGAAGAAAAAAGAAAAATGATGAGGAATGAGGAAACCAAGACTCATGAAGATAAAATACTTGGATAAAGTCAAATGAACTAGTAATGATGGAGCTAGGATTTAAATCAAACTTTGGTTTAGCTGATACCAAAGCTTGTTTTCATCCTAATGTATTACTGGCTAACTTGACAGTAAAAGTCTACATTTAGGAAAGAAAGTGTTAATAATAAAGTCTGAGCTAGGTCAAATCTGAGCTAGATGAATTGGAGATAGAGTGAGTGGCTCAATGGCAGGGTGTTGGCATTGTATAGACAAGGCCCTGGCTTCAATCTCTAGCGCCATGAAACAGTAACACCAACTAGTCTGTCTGAGCAAAGGTTAAAGGCACAGGTGTATCTCGCAGTTCTCTAGACCCTTCTCCCTAGAGAAAACTACCACTCCTAGCTTTTTCACTTCTCAAGGAATACTTCATTTGAAAGACTTACTTGATACACCAAAGTGACATTCTGTTATCCATGACCTTGAAGGACAAACAAGCAGTACAGGTCACACAATTTACAGCTTCTTTAAAATACTTCAGCCCTTTAACCCAAATTCCTTTCCTTGCCAACTTTTTGCTTAAAGCAAGACAGAGGGACTTCTGAGTTTTGCCATCTCTGATTTTCTAGTTTATTATTTGGGGTATAATAAGCACTCAAATGAATAAGAAAGTAAGGAAGAGTAGGAAACAAGATAAGATAGAACAGCTAACTAATCCACAAATTGAGCCAGGTGCCAGTGGACCACACCTGTGATCGTAGCTACTCAGGAGGCTGAGATCTGAGGATTGAGGTTCAAAGCCAGGCTGGGCAGCAAAGTCCATGACACTCTTCAATCAACCACCAGGAAACCAGAAGTGGCGCTGTGGCTCAAGTGGTAGAGCGCTAGCCTTGAGCTGAACAGCTGAGGAACAATGCCCAGGCCTAGAGTTCAAGCAAGCCCCATAGCTAATAA